CCAGTTGTAATAAACAGTACTGGTTTCCTATTTTGTAAAAGAGAGTTAGATCGTTACTAAATAATGCATACTTAAATTAGTTCCAAATAAGTTGGAATTATATCTAACAATAATAATGTGGCAAAACTTACACACTGAATATTTTGTTTTGATCACTGTTGTGTTTTACCTACAAAAATGCTTTGGTCCTCATAACAAGCCTATGAGATAGGAACAATTATTTCACTCTTTTACAGATGAGAAAACCAAGTTATGTGGAAGTTCAGTGACATTATCCAAGGTCACACAGCTTAGGAGTGTTCTTACAGCCATCTCATACTTAACATGTCCACCAATGAATTCCTAATCTTCTCCCTAAAAACATGTCCCAACTCCGATCTTTTCCATCTTACAATATCCTTTACTCAGAGTCACCTATATGCTCAAGCCAAAAATCTCACAGCTATGCTTAACTCCTTACAGCCTGCATACATTTTGGAAAATTCAGTTGAATCTATCTTCAGACAAGATCTTCAATCCACCTCTACTTTGTACAAATTGGTAAACACCATATTTCCTGGCTTGTTTCAGTAGCCTCTTAACTTTTCTCCGTGCTTCCTCCTTTGCTTCCGTCAGTCTACCCTCACTCTAGTGGCAAGAAAAATACTTTACAACATAAATCAGCTCAGCCCACTCCTTAACCTGGAACACTGCTCACCAGGGAATCCCTACAGCCAGTTCTCTAACCTCCAGATTGTTACTTAAATGTCTCCAGATTAAGGAAGACTCTCCTGACAACCGCTTAAAATTGCAACCCACTACCAATATCTGTCAACGTCAGCATTTTTAGTACCGATACCCTGTTTTTTTTTTTTTTTCCTTCGAGACAGAGTCTCGCTCTGTTGCCCAGGTTGGAGTGCAATGGCGCGATCTCGGTCACTGCAAGCTCCACCTCCCGGGTTTACGTCATTCTCCTGCCTCCGCCTCCCAAGTAGCTGGGACTACAGGCGCGCACTGCCCTGCCCGGCTAATTTTTTTTTTTTGTATTTTTTGTAGAGAGACGGGGTTTCTCCATGTCGGCCAGGATGGTCTTGACCTCCTGACCTCGTGATCCACCCGCCTCGGCCTCCCAAAGTTCTGGGCTTACAGGTGTGAGTCACCACGCCCGGCCCCCATACCCTGTTCTTTTAATTGCCCTTTAATATAGTATGTAATTAACTTATTTAATATATTTATTATTTTTGTCTGTCTTCTTCAAAATATCAGTTCAGCAATGGCAGTGTCTTATCTGTTTTGCTTACAGATGTATGGGAAGCACCTAGTACAATGCTTTGCATTTCATAAACTGTTTAAACATAGACTCCATAAGTATTCGTTGAATGAATGTTGAGACTGGGATTTTAAATTTAGATAAAATGATTCCAGGGTCCATGAAGTAATGACTAAGCAATTGCCTTAAACATGAAATCATTGTTTAAAAGCTTGAAAAAAATAAGTGAATATGAGAGGAAAAAGATATTAGGAGCATTAAAGTAGTAAAATAAATTATCAGGGAAAATTTGATAGTTTAATGTTTGTAAGAATGAAAAATCTTTAAAACAAATAACATTACCTCCAAATTTAACAAAGAATAAAAACTGATAAATATCTTCCATAAATATGAGAATGTACTGTTATTCAAATATTAGGAGTTATTATAAACCAAATGGGGGAACAGTAACAAAACCCCCATAAGTATTGAAAAAGTATATAAACTCACAAAAAGAAACAAATAGCAAAGCATACAAAATATAAAAGCCACTGTTTCTGGTAACACAACTCATTATTTGAGATACCATTTTCTTTCAACTAGGAAGTCAGCCAAAATAAAAAAAGAAAGGAAGAAAAAGGACCTTAAGGACGTCCCATGTTGATGAGGGTTCATTGCAACAAGCTCCCTTATGACATACAGCATGTACTTTAAAATATCCCTGCATCATGACACATGGCTGTGTTACTAGGAATCTATTTTGAGGACATAATCAGAGATATAAACATACTTGTGTAACGGCTTTCAACAAAAGTAAACCAGTAGGGAGTAACTGTATAAAAACAATTACATTTTTAAGACTTGAAAAATACTGAAGTATTTCATAGAAAAATGTAGTGATTCATTAAAATTAACATTTTTGAATAAAATTCTGATAACTTAGAAAATGTTAAATTTTTCAAAAAAGAGGCAGGTAAAAGTTGTGTGTATAGCACCGTCATAGAGGTTAGATTGGAGCCTCATTACATTGATGACAAAAAGTGGATTCTAAAACCTGGGGCAGGAGCCAGATCCAAAAGTTAAGCTGAGGTAGAGGCCCTTCAGTGACTTTGGGCAAGCCCTTGTGCAGGAGGAGGTAAAGTCTTGGTCACAAAGGTGGAAGACAGGTTACATGGGCATCAAAGACAATACTAACCTATTTCTTAATTTATCTTAGCATCAGAAAGGCCATTATCATATACTTCACGATAGCATCATACACAGATGCATTACTGGCACATAAAAATGCTGATGGTGACACATGTGCATGAATAAATTCTCCAAATACTTGTCTCTGTGACTTTGTCTCTATGTCTGAGGTACAACAGCTTTGAAACAAAGTGCTTCATACATGTTACATTATCAATTCCTAAACAGAACAATAATCTTTAGAAGTAAATTGAAAATTGTATTCCTAAAACAATTGTGATCCCAATTCTACAATATACTTTAGCTATAAATAGACATTACACAAAACTGTTTTACTGCTATCATTCCTTGGGTCATTTGTCTCTTGCTAATTTGGAAACAAGAGTGCTTTCTTGTTTTGTTTGACAAGGTACTAAAAATAAATTCTAGATAGCATATAACATTTTATTGTAAATTTCCTTGACTTCAATGAATTGCATTTTATGTGCAGTGCAGGTTTGTGGAATGCTGCCAAACTCATATGTTTAAATTGTTAAAAATAAACTCTTTGGATTGCTAATGACTGTAGTATATGCAATTCACCAGATTGTTTAAACAGATTTCAAATAATTTTCCTGTAATTGCTAATCATTTTGTAGGAGTCAGGAAACCAGTAATCAATAATCACATGAAACTGTTGAAAAGGAGTCTCAATACAAATTCTTCTTTCTGTGGGAATACAGCCTGCTCAGATGGCTGACATATATAATGTTCTCCTTGGTGTTCTTTTCTGTTATGTATTTATTGCAGTTTCATAGGCACCTTTTTATGGGGAAAAATAAATTAGAAAAAAAAAAGGTAAAATATCTCTTTGCTGACATCATGACAGAGATAACATTTGCTATAAAGAACAAATCCTTAGAGGGGTAGGAGCATTTAACTTGGTACAGATGCTAAGGATGCAAAGTAAAGTTCATCACTTCTAAACAATGGACAAGTTTGTCACTGATCAGCTTTTCTCTTGCATGTATTTTAATATGCATTATAAAGACCTATACTTATCACAGTATGTGGAATTCTATCTACCAGGGGTTTATCTCAAAGATATAAACTCAAACACAGTATGTAGAATTTTGTTTTTCAGGCTGAGAAGAAACATTGTCAATAAATGTCACAAAAATACTTACAGTTACATTAAATAAAATAGATTTCCATATATATGTTTATCATCTCCTCTCCCTTGTTAGAAAGTGGACTTGAATTTATTATAATGTTATTACCTTATCTAGTGAGAGATACATTTTGCATATTTTTAAAAGCCATCATCTAATGTTAAGGAAAGTAAAGAACTGTTTAAACATGTCAATGTATTCTTCTTGAAGTAAAGAGTAAAAAGAGATTCAGGGAAGGCAAAAAACCTTTTTGTCGTTCTCTCTTTTGTTTACTGCAGACGCATGGTAGAAACCAGGCTTATCTCAATGTACCTTAGTATTGAGGAAGGACTAGAGGTAGTGCTCTCAGAAATTTAGAATAGGGGTCTAGCTGAGCTGGGAATAAACCCAGAGAGGAGCAGTTAGGCAGGGAGAAAGATAAATTAACAAATAAGAAAAGTGACTTAAAAAAAAAAAAAAAAAAAAAAGCAGCATGCACAGTTACCCCAGAGTGATCTCTGGTAATATCCTCTTTACTCATGTGAAAACTACTTACAAAAACCTCAACTCATGTGAACTCTGAAGTGGGTAGGGGAAGATAAAAAAGGAAATTCTTTAATTTTGTGCTTTAGAGTCTGAATATGGATGCCAGTTTGTTGGTTTATATTCCTTGGGAATATTCCACGGGAAGAAACTGGTCCTCCTTGCAGTCGGCACATCACAGCTTCCCAGGTGTAACAACGTGGTTGCGACAGGAGAAAACGGTGGCTCCTAAGCTTTTGCGTAAATTGGAAGCTGAATCAGGCATCTGCTGGAATACAATCAGAGACCAGCAGCTAATCTCAGGGCTTTCAGAAAACAACAGAAATCCGGTAGAAACAGTCTCCAGGAGGGTATAGTTGCCAGCTAGGATTCCTCAGGGGCTCCACTCTCTATCTTACACATGAACTCTGTCTTTCTCTGGGTCATTGGGTCACAACCAATGAAGCCTTTCTGAGTGACAAGCTGGGAATCACCGTGTTGCAGTTACAGCAAGTGTTACTGCCAACTTTGCCAATAGCGTGTATGTGTGGTTTCTGTGTGTGTATTCCTCTCTGTACTTCAATCTTATTTTCATATGTGAACACTAAAGAGATTGCACAAGAGATAACCTTTATCTTGAAATCTCACTCTCAGTAAGCTGGTACCAGTAACACACACACACTCGCACACACGCACACTACCTGCGGCCGCAGAACCTTGCACCCTTAGGCTGGCTCGCGTCTTAGGGTTTTGGTATATTTGGTGGAAACTTGCTGATTTCCTGTGTCTTTTGGAAACACCAAACTGGGTGGGGGGTGGTTGGAACGCTGTGGCTCATCATTTATTCATTGCGACTGTTTCGATTGTTGACACTAGTGGCAAGCCTCATCCTCCAGCTCTTGCAAGGGAAGTCTGACACCTTGAGGACAGGAGAGGGGGTGCCAGGCGCCCAGAGAAGCGGGAGTGGGAGAAGCTTTGAGAGTTGCAGGGGGCTACTTTCTTGCAGTCGGGCGGCGGGCCGCACGGGTGCTTGTTGACCGGGCTAGGAGCAGGGCATTCAAAAGCTAGGTGTCAGAGCGCACTGAAGTCCAACACGCCTGCAGAGACTGCCCTAAGACTGGAGGTGTGTCTGGCTTGCATCCAGGGCCACAGGGTAGATTCTCGCCACCGACCTGGCTGGATGACGGCTGGCTGGTAGTGAGCTCCCCTGCCCACTGGCTGACCTCAAGCAGTTGGCCCCGGTGGGTGGAGGTTATTCGAGGGGGACGAGTTGGGGACGGAGCATCAGCTCCTGCCAGCGCGCGGGTCTCCTCCACCTCCAAGCAGTGTGGTGCGTGGGACGCGCATCTTCCCGGACTATCCCTTTCCAGCGCGGTCTGTGCGGACCCCGAGCCGGGCAGCCGCCAGGGACGGAAGGCGGGGTGCCTTTCTCTGGGCTCATCCGCTATCAGCCGTGGGAACTCTTAACTTTATCCAGAGGGATCGGTGAGGGCGGGGGTGGGAGAGGTTCTCCTCCCCTGGCGCTTACCTCCCCCTCCCGGGCCGCCCCTCCCCCGCCTCCCATGGCTTCGCTTTCAGAGCATCCTCACTCCGCCCAGTTCGGTGCCAGCTGCGTGGGCTCCAGCTTCGTTCCTTTTCCTTGGAATGCTCCAAAACTCGGCAGCGACTAAGGGAATTCCATCGGAATTTGCCGGGCGTGCTCTCACCCCGCACGGCACCCGCGCCGTCCGTCCCCGGATCCCATCACTTCAGCCTGAAGATTGCAACTTTGCAGGTAAAGAGGATGTCGCCTCGGAGCTCCGTTCGCCCGGAGCTACACCTCGCCTTCTTTCTGGGATCTCGGTTAAGTTTCCTAAGCTGCCTGGGAAGCCGGCTCTCTTCTGGGAGGCGGACATCCCTGGGGGGTTACGAGTTCAAAAGGTTCTGGCTGTATGGTTTCTCTTCAAGGCTCAGGAAAAAAAATCTGTGAAGCTTTTGGTGCTTGACTCGGGCTGAGCAGGAGTTTGGGGGTGCTTCTCCGTCTTCCACTGCACTCGGCTTTAAAGCAGGGGAGAGGGCGAGGAGTGAACCCCTGGTGTGACTTATATGGTAAACAAAGGCGCTGTAGCCACGCCGTGGTGCTGGGGAATGTGACCGCTGTTAGCCTTTTATGCATTTGGGGAAAATGGAGATCTCGGGGGCACCTGGGTGCATATAAGTGAGGCCTTAGCTCTCCGGCACTTAAAGTGGGGGCACGAAGGAAGTAAAGTGATCAATAGTCTACCGATCGATTACATTCTGCGTCATTTTCATTCTCTGTCAAGAAACAGAAACACTTTTATCCGTGTTGCCCGACCCAGGCTAGTGATTCCTAGTTCGCCTGGCAAGCGAGATTCCAATGAAGCCAATGAAGCCCATGACCCGGTTTGCCACTTGGTGAAATCACTGGGATTCACTGCACAACTTGTTGTTCCAGCTGTGAACTCAGCTGCCTTTTGTGACTAGAGACAAGAGTATACTGGAAAGGCATCGAGGGTTTAGGAGAGCTGAGGAAAGGGTTCTCTTATCTTGTCTGTCTGCATTCACTATGGTGTATCCACTATGGTGTATCCCTGTTCACATGGCTTCTTAGGGAGGTCCTTCCCAGTGAAATTCCATAGCTATAAAATGCAGCAAGTTGCTTAAGGAGTAAGCACCAAGCCAAAGGAGTAGGAGGAGACAGAAGGAAGCTTTAGTTGTTTAATTAAAAAAAAAAAAAAAAAAAAAGACAGACTTGTAAAACTTTTTCAGTTTTAATAAAATACTGCCTCTCAGGGCTCATATAATTTCTGCCTTTCCTTGCATAGTACATAATCACAACATCAAGAATATTACCAATTCTTTAACAAAAAGGTTTACTGGAGGGTATTTTTGGTTTTGGGGTTTTTTTGGGTAAAACTCTAAATTAGACATTGAGAGTAAGAGTGGGCGGAGATGTTAAAATGTTGAAATCTTCATCATTGTGTTGGGTTTGCTATTTAAAATTACATTTATAACGCCTACTTTTATTCACCTGGACACTATTGTCCATAAAATATCCTCCTTAAATGCTTAAGGGGAAAAAAAAGCAATAAGATCAATTTCAATTTACTTGCTTACTGGTCATTCTGAAAGATATATGAGTTGGACTAGATTTTCATTACTTATAATCTTTAAAATCTTGTAATTGTTATATAATTTATTTTTCTGTTGCATTTATTTCCAAAAGGTCAAGATAAAAATGCATAAATAAGGCCATGACAGAGTTAAAGTTCTATATGAATTTTATAGCTATTTTAGTTATTCAACCAGTAAGAGGCCAAATAACTTTTCATATAAAATAACCTTAATCAATTCATACTTTGTATTAAGAAGAAGTAACAGAAGCAATCATTTTATTCTTTCTCATTAGGGGAAATTTTAATGTCTTATTCTACACACACATTTCAAACTAACTTTCTAACTTACGCTCCATGGAGAACTACAGCCATCTATAGGACTAAAAAGTTACCTGTTTCAACATCCTCATTTAGGAAACCAAATAAATAAATACTAAAAAATAACAACTTATGTTTATAAACTATTACATCATTTTAATTGGTAAGGAATCTGGAAGTTAGATTGGCTATTTTTCAATATTTGGATGGCTGTATCTATCAATACGTTTGTGAACTAGATGTTATTAAAAACTTCACTGTAATAACTAAGCTTAGAAAAATTGCTGTTTCCTAACTGTAGATGAAAGATAGAAATGATGACAATCATTATTTTTAATTTTTCTTTTATGATTTCAAGGTAATAAACATATCTGATCATCTAGTCAAATGCTATCAGCGTACCCTGTGAAAAACATAATTACATTTGTATTGAAATATAATAACCCCCTTTAAGATGCACTGATTTTAACCCCACTGAATTAAAAATACTTTTAAATGTATATTTTTTGAAATAATCTGTTATATTTTTATACCTGTATGTTTAATTGCCAGGATTATTTATGGCAGCTCAGATAATCAGCATTATATTTAGCAGCTGAAAACTGAAATAATTTCTCTTTTCTGATCTATGCATGTATTGGAAGAAAAATAAAAATATGCACACATTGGTTCAATAGTAAATATTGTAACTATCAGTGCTTGAAGTTAATATAGATATATAAGTAAAGATAGATTTATGAGAAATACTAAGCAGTAGCTAGAACTATAAAATTAGGAACTGACTATTTTATGAAAATATGATGGTTGTATTTTTGAAAATAATGTCAGGTAAAGGGAAAACACAATAAACTATTAAATTTTCATTTTTCCAAAACCATCATTGCCATATAGTTTATGAAATCAAATTCTAATGTGCACTTTGACTTTAGAAATTGGATTGTCTGGACTCATTTGAAACCAGTGTTATTGACCTCTTTAATGACTATGGAAACCAGACCATGATTATTTGGTTCTCATTAAAAATGAGTTTGAGAGGAGACAGCTCAAAATAAAAACTTTGCCTTTTCACCTAATTATACCCTATACTCCCCCCCCCAAAAAAATATTAAAACTGGTTCGATTCAACCCAAATTTAATTGGGAATTTGTTTCTATCTAGTTATAATGAATAGTTGATTTAGAACTATCTTACTCCTCATGTTTTCTATTTCTAACCCTTCCAGAGGCATTGACACCTCAATATTTTAAGAGATTTGAGAATATTTTGATTGGGAATATAATATGACTGTGTCTTTTTAATCAGCACAAATATAGACCTAATTTTTGAGAACATTAGTATTACCGAAATAACTTTATGATGCAAAAAATACATTTAGGGAAAGACACTGTTTATTTGGGAAACTGAAAATTAAAGGCAAGTGCATTGAAAATGTATTAATTCAAAACCATGTAGTTTCATGAACTATTTAGCAAATTAAGTGATGTATCTAAATGTTTAAAAAATCTAAATGACCCTCCTGAAAGTTGTTTAATTTTAATAGGATAAGAAAAAAATAGTTTCAGAACTTGATCTACTATTGTAACTAAACTGTATGTAATATCCTATTAATATTAATGTATGTTTTATCTGTCTTTTTAGAAATACAGCAGTGTCATAATGACTTCTTGAGAGACACTAGATGACACATGGACACAGTGTTACATATAAAATTAGAGATGTTAATTAAAACATTAATTTAAAACTATGCCTTGATAGCTTTATTTAGCACACTGCATTCTTTTTGAGAAATGACAGTGAAATGAAACAAATCAGATACTCATTAATTATATTCTGTCTGTAGTTTGCTGTTAGATTTTGAAATATGTCGAAAAAGTCACCATGACTTTTTATGTCAAACAAATACTATCAAGAGTTGAAATTTACCTGAAACAGGACCTATTGTGAAAAAAGAAAAGAGAGAAAATGGGCCAATATTTATGAGAATTTAATGTACACTTGGCGCTACGCAAGAAACTTTGAAAAAGAAAGCTATTTTTCATTGTTATCTTAACATCTACCTTGAAACTGAAGTATTATCACATTTTAACAATCCGAGAAAGATGAAATTTATGAAAATCACAAAACTGCTTTGTGGGAAGGCAGGATTTGAAGTATATCAAATCCCTTCACTATCAGGTGAGAGTACATCTACCTGAGAGTAAAGTCTACACTCTTTTTACTTAATTCCTGTGGTTTCTAAGATACAATCAATAATCTTTTAATAAGTTTCATAAATTCATTTTTTTTCAGTTATTTATTTCTTGAATTTTAAAAATATAGCATCAGAACATAAACAACTGTCCCCATAATGGGGATAGAATTTGAAACAGTAGTCTGTTAAAATTCTATCAGTTTTGAAGCAGAGCAAGAGGTAAGCTACTTGTCTTAAGCAGGATGATCTCAAAATGACTTCCTTTCTTATTCTTAAATATACATCTAGTACATGTAAAAAGAAAAAAAAGTTTGTTTTTATGAACAAAGTTCAAGATTATATTTTTTTAGAACTATTCATGAGCTTATAATTTATAAACAAAAAGTTATCATTCCAAACTTTTGAACATTTGTAAGCTGGTAATAAAATGTCTTTATTAAAAAAAGGTCATGCTAAGACATGTTAGGTTTATACTACATCTTATCAATGTTATGTAAAATTTCTAGACAAGTGTATTTGTTTTAGTTTTACCTGAAATTTTAATTTTCTAATTATTGTAGTGTCCCTTGGTATTTGAGAGGAGCTCTCATTCATGCATCCCAAAAGACGTCGATTAGCTGGTGCCACATCTTAACAAATTTGTCATGATACTTACTAAGCATATATATGCATTTGCGCTGACAGGATTGTGTCCAAAACCTATTGACATTGAGGTTGAAGGAATAATTTCTTTAGAAAATGTAATACCATTACAAAAATTATCACTTAAATATTATCCATTCAGTAGATATTTGTTGAATATTACTAAATGAATAATTGAATCAACAGATGAAAGGCACATGCATACGCTTTTCATTTATGTTATATTTTCTGGCAAAGTTCCCTCTGTCTAGAATAACTTCTACCTTTTTGTTTCTGTAAAAATGTTCTTCAGACACTAAAGCCTGGTTAGTGCCTAGTTAAATCCAGTATGACCGTCTCCTTTAAAGTTTCCTTCATTTCTCCAGATGTCCCAGGTATAAATACAAGCAAACAGCTTGCTATATTCTGTCTTGCAGGTTGGTAGAGGTCTGTCTCCTCTACCAACAGTAAACTTTTTTAAGGAAACCAGAGGATTTTCAAAACTGTGTGAGTTTGTAACTGAATTAG